GAAACGCTGGGGAAGGGCGCTTAGGGGTGTATAGGGAGGAGGATTTTGACATTAGCTGACGAATGGGGGGGGGGGGCTCTATTCAAGGCGGACAGGACTGGACGTCTTACAAAAGTTGCCGCTAGGTGGCGCTGTTGAAAGCGGTTTATTTCCCGACACGATTTTTGTCGACAGGACAATATTATGCCAGCTAAAATGACTCACCCCCTCTAGTGACGCCCCTGCCTGCTCGAGAAGATAAGCTTCGAATGTTTTAACCGTTGATTTTCCAGAAAAATTCAAACGTAGGATCACCATATGCTTATCTTGTTATTAATCAATTAACGATATTAAATACCGGATTATCCGAACATAATGCCTAATGCCAACGAAGCATTCGAGAATATACGGATTAAAGCTTAAAAAAAAAGAGAATATTAATTTAAAGATGTGAGATTACAGTTCTTATTTCTGCACCTTTAAGTGCATCCTATCTTCAACTTCATTTAGGTCAATAGAGGGCGCTATACGCGCACCAAGATGGTACACCGTACAACCATCCACTAGGATTATTATTGCCAGTTTGTTGATGCGTGAGCCTGTCATTATTAGTAATTAAGGGGAATGTTAATTCCCGGGTGTATGCGGGTATAGCAACGTACAGAAGATTTGTATACGAGCAAGTCAACGGACTGAACTTACTCAAGATAACACAATTTTTTTATGTATTCTATAAAAAAAAATGAAAAGGGAAACTCCGGAGGTTGCAGGTTTAAACCCCGCTTTTCAATTACTTCGTTCTCCAACAAACAAAAAACCATAAAATCTTGGAACACGTATAAAATCAGACGGATGCCTCGGGTTTTTTTCCTCAGAAGTCAAATCATTTTATTTCGCAGAATTTCACAAAGTCTAGCAGTTGATATTTTGTGATTTTTTTTTATGTTCAAATCGGATCTGGAAGGAAAAAATAATTTACTTCCATCTCTTGATTAAAATGCTAGCATGGAATGCATTTTTTTGTCTTTATTAATCTATCCTTTCTAAGGCATTTCATGTTTTTAAGATGTCCACTAACATTTGCTTTCGACACATTGATTTCACACAACAGGTTGGTTTTTTTTCTTCTGGTAATTACAATAAAGTCCGACTAGAATAGGATTATTGTCTCGTAACCGACTTTAATAAAAATCATCAAGCCTAAAGTAAATACACTAAATCCTTCTTGATATTACTGTTGTTTGCTTTAACACCTTCTACTGTAACTATTATTAATGAAGTAAATAAATACAATTGGATGATTTGCCAGGGACCGGACGTTTTAGAGTGAAAATCACCCTCATTTTCGATTGAAATAGTCTGAAAAAAGAACCACTTCAGTCGAAGCTCGAGTGAAAACTTGATCTTTACGATATTGAAGAAATTTTACTCTAAAACGTCTGGTCCATAGTTTCCGACTGTGGGAGTGAATCTTCAACTCGAATGGAATGAATTTTCACTCTTCAGAATTTAGGGAGTGAAGTAATACTTCTCATAGAAGCTTGACTATACAGGTTCATGTTTATTTGCTGGAGTAGGCTGCGATACGTAGTGCAGAAAAGGATAAATTAAACGCTCTGTCTAGATTGAAGAGGACACGAGGGGATTTAGGGGATTAAGCTGACGGAAAGGGGGTTTCACAGGCCGATTTAAAAACTCTCATAATGCACCTTCGCGCTATCGCATATAAAAGACGAGCTCGCGCTCGAAGATTGATCCCAGGGGCATCCTACGACCGTGTTCACTAACGTATCTCAATTTTAATCAATCTGAAAATAGAGATTGGTAGAAAAAAAGTATATTTAGTGGACGAAGATATAAATTCTGCGCGACGGCTGTTTCATGTTTGCTTTTATATGATTTAACCCTTTGGCTCCCAGGAGAATAAAGTACTGATGACTCTCCGGTACCAGGAGCATTTGGAGAAAAAATTTAATTGTGTATAGCGCCATCGTACATGCATGGAGGACAGAGCCCATTGCTTGCCCAGCAAATGTAAATAATATGTGAACTAGTAAACCGCCTGCATGTTTATTACCCTTGATGTGTTTGCCATGATTATGTAAACGGACACGCGCTAATGCAATCTATTTAGGAACTACATGTAGTTCAAGCCCCCCCCCCCCCCCAAGTTCAATGTTGTTGGGAATCGGGCGTGCAGGCAAACTGGCAAATTCCCCTAGCAACATTGCAATGGGGGGGGGGGGGCGGGAGGAATAATGTTTATAATCACATAATTGAGTAGTCTGTTTAATATGCTTCAACCATGGAGTTAGATACACAACGCATAATAGGAGACATTTCGTAGAGAGGAGGCGCTATTTACATTGTCGCAAAATGCAGAGTGGCTTGGTGCCAAAAGGAAGAAGTGGCGTTCGACTTTTGGTGCCAAATGGCAAGGGCGGATCCAGGGCGGGGGTGCAAAGGGGGCCATGCCCCCCCCCCCCCTAAAAAAAAAAAACGAAACCATTTTTTTTTTATGTGACATCGCAATAAAGGCAGGCAATGAGTACACCACCATCTTTTCCTCAAAAAAACATTGGTTAAAGTGGTCAGAAATTGTCTCAGATCGCACCACAGAGCATCTAGAATCCAAAAATTTTCGGGGCCCTTAAGCGGGCCCTGAACCCCACGCCGTAATTTTTTTGACCCACTTTTTGGGGGGACCAATTTTTTTTTGGCCCCCCAAAAAATTGTGTTCTGGATCCGCCCTTGCCAAATGGAGCCCATGGAAGTGAATGGGTTAATGACACAGCAGTCATGGTTGAGAGCCCTATATTTGGAATGGTATCTATGCTATGAGTTTTATCTTGAACATGTTTCATTAATTTTTGTCGGTTCCATCATTTATATCACCAGGCACACTGGTGAATTCACCAAAAAGATGTAAAGTGTCAAATAATTATGTGATCTAAAACACTTCGGAATGATGGGCAAATATAATGCAATGTAGACAAATCTCCTTATAAAGGGATATTGGCAGTCTGTTGGCAGCCGCGGTACTCCGCCCTTTTGCGTCAAGTACGTGCTTAGTCTCAAATTAGTCGCATGCGTTCATAATTATGCAAAATCTGTTTCCTGTCCTGCTGAACATTCACGAGGCTACCTGTAAAAGTGCAGGTACCATAGGCTTTCAAACAAATCACAACGCTATACTTGCAAAGAACAGCTACACTGAAACGCAATGTAGCATCAAATGAGAAAACCAAGATTTTGATTTTTTTTGGCTGGTAAATCAACGTGATGGTAATCGCACAAACTACAAGGCGAATATTTCGATTACTTAAGTACAAATCAGTGAATACTAAATTTCATCATCAGATCTTAGCATTTTTTTTGAGGGGGTTGTTTTCGCAACTTGCCGCCTTACCCCCTCCCCGTACAAATACAAACAATCTTACCACGCATAATGAGCTAAGCTATCACCGACACCATGAAGTACTACACTCCACGTGTTAAACCACATTTTTTTCCGGTTTTCATTCATCAAGGCCTGCCATTGCACGAAATTTCAAAGCTTCAAGAGCTTTACTTTAATAATTACGCTTTTATTATCCATGGCAACTTTTGCGCGAAAGTGACAATTTTCGTTTTCACCATTGTAATGCATGGCGCGCACTCTGCTCAAATGCTAGTCTTGGTTCCAAGACCTTCGTTGAATACTTTTTCTCCCGGCGTGCGAAAATTATATTGCACTAGTACAGGCGCAGCCCGCGATGAAAAACTGTTATCGATTCTGCAATGTACTCGATACTTATTCACTGTGTTTATTCAACGATTATCGATTCTAGCGCGAACGATTCTGTACTTCTGTAATGTACCGCGTCAACCTCGTCCCCAGGGTGTCGAGCAGTACGCGCCCACCACTACCTGCTCTCTCACCCTGGTATTGGATCATTTGCATTTGCAAGATTTTTGAACACGTATGCAAATGAGGAACAGTCTGGTGCCTGGATATGCGTTACACATTAGCGTTTGTTTTTGTATGCGGTGTCTGGGGTAAAAACAGAGTCAATTCTTAGCAGCGCGAGCACGGCGTGAGTTACGAAAACACGATTTTTGAAATCAAACTGTAACGATCTTATCGAGACAACATGCAGTATCATATTTCATATAAATATGAGCAAATTGGAAAGGAAATTAGTATTTTCGAGAAGGCGTGGACGAATGATCGCAAAAACACGTACTGCACGTTGTGAATAATAGCACCAAGTACACGATAAAAATCCATTACTAGCCAATTGCAGTATCCAATCAGGATACAGGAAGAACGTTTACTATCCAGGGTTTACTACTGGAAACGCGGTTGGAAATAAAGCACTGGGGACGAGGTTGGTACCGCGTATAATATATCGTCCGTATATGCGCGCTGTGGTCCTGTGAAGTGCGCCCTCTGTTGAGTGAAAACAATTGTTTTACAAAAGTATTCATTGGTATGATTACACACGTACACAAACAACGCAGATAGTAACGTCTTGGAACCAAGACTACTCAAATGCGAGCAAAAGCGTTTTCACGAAGAAACACTCACCTTGTTCAGCGCGCGCGCGCTGACCTCCGTTTCCACGAAGTAATACTCTCCTAGTGTTGTAATACATTGAAGCGTGCTACTTCGTGAAACGAAACAATTTCGCAGCTTTTTTTGGTGTTACGAACTAGCACTATTTTTTTTCTATTATTTCTTGTTGTTTTAATATACAAATGGGTCAAAAACAGCAAATTTAATAACATAAATACATCAAGTGTCCACAACGAGAAACCCAACTGAAAATACTCTGCAGTTTTGGCGCAAAGTGTTGTTCTAGAAGGCATTCAACTTTAGATGCCGTTTTCTCCGATTGCTAGTTTTTACTGGTATGTACATGAGTGTTACTTCGTGGTGTCGATGACGTTCAAACATTCTTTACCTAATTGTTAGGCACTGGGCAGCAAAATGACGAGGCTACCAGCAATAAAGGTGATTAACGACCACTTCTATGTTATATAAGTCAACACTTCGAGCATCTCATGATAAGATGTGCATATCTGGTGTCGAGACATCAATTGACGGACCTCACTCGCACTAATGGATAAACCTAAAATGGGATGTTTTGGGGCATCAGTTTTCCTTGCTTTAAGCATTATAATGATGCTGCACCTCAAGTCAGTTCTAGGAGGCAAGATTTTGGTGGCTCCTACGAGTGGGATGTGCAGCCATATGATTTCCAGCATCGAGATCGCCAAAACTTTGTCCTCGCGAGGGAACGAGGTATGGGTCGTCATGAACGAGGAGACCCATTGCCTGTACGTGCAGGGACGCATGGAGATCCCGGACCAGATCCACTTCGCGCTCTTCAAGACCTCTGTCACCGACAAAGATGGCGACACGTTCCTCCGGCGGTACGTCTCCAAACAGTTGCGAGACGAGCGCGCCAGCACGGCCCTGCAATACCGCATCGAAGCCGAGGATCGCGAGATACAAGCACGCCTGGCTGGACGGAAAATGGACGTCTTCAAGGCGTCCAGTTTCGTCAACGATGACATGCTGGGAAACTCCGAACTCATCGAGAAGCTAAAGACAGTAGGATTTGATATAATCGTCGGTGATTTTATCTCATGTTATCAAGTGTTTCTGAGCCAGGTTCTCCAAGTGCCATACATTCATATTGGTCTGACGCCAATTGCGCCGTCGCAGCACGACTACTTTGCCCACACGCCGAGCAATCCAGCCTATGTTCCCGAGAGATTCAGTGCGCTCGCCGATACCATGACCTTCCGGGAACGTCTTAAAAACACCTTATTGTACTGGGTCATGAGTTACACCTACCAAAAGTACATACTGACGCCAATGGACGAGGTCCTACTTAAGCGAAACATCAGGCCCGATGCCAACTTTGGTCAGCTGCTGTCGGAAGCTAAGCTGTGGATCTTCAACTCCGACTTCGTCGTGGATTTTCCACGTCCGCTGAATCCACAAGTCAAGTTCGTTGGTGGATTTCTGACTGGTCCCGCCAAACCACTAAACAAGGTTATTTTCGAAACCTCATTTGACCAAACAATCAATGTAGAAACAAATAGAGCTGTAGTCAAGTTAATCACAATTATGGTCAAAGGAATATAATAACAGGACGTCTCGAAGACGAGACGTCCTGTAAGGACTCGACTGCAACACTGGAGACGAGTGATCAGTGTTTGCCTCTTCAGTTCAAAACAACGCAAAATAGATGACGAAATAACAATAGTTGTTATAATCATTATGTTTTAATATCAAAAAATCTCTTTTCCCCAACAAAGGAGTGGCAGTCGTTTGTTGATAGCTCGGGCGACCACGGCATAGTCATTCTAGCACTGGGAACTCTCATCAACGATGAACTGACGGAGCAACAAGCTGAGAACATCGCCTCCAGTCTGGCTCTACTCTCTCAGAAGGTGGCTTGGAGTTACGGCGGTAAACTACCAAAGACTCTCGGTAACAACACCAAGGTTGTCAAATGGCTGCCGCAAAACGACCTGCTTGGTAAGATGAATAGTAAATATATTTTACAATAGTTTTGGCAACTAGTTTTACTATGCATAACAATGTACAGGTACTGATGTACCAAACGTATAGGCATAGTGTAGGATTAATAACCTTTGTCCAATTTGACAGCCGCAAACCGATCGGCTTGATAAAAGCCCTATATTAAAAAGCCAGTAGGCCTATGCTTTGCATTTTTTAAAACTTATACAAAGACTACGGGCAGCCGAAGGCTGTTACATGTTAAATTCGTGAATGGGGCACTGGACTTTAATCATTCGGCACCTATAGAAAGGCAGCATTCCCCGAGCTTCAAAACAAACACTTACTTTACACGTTGTAAAATATCTGCAACAGTGCTTTATTCCGATACAGTTGTAACGTAAATGCAAGAAGGTCTCATAGTTTGTTTGTTTCCTTTTTTTCTTCTCAAACCTCGACTTTGTCCCCCTTTAGGTCACCCGAAGACCAGAGCTTTTATTTCCCACGGTGGTCTGAACAGCATCCATCAGTGCATCTACCACGCCGTACCGATTGTGGGAATCCCAGTCTTTGGGGATCAGAAGGATAACTTTATTCGTCTCGGCGCCAGAGGAATGTCCATCTTACTCGACATTCGTCGTCTGTCTGATCGTTCCATCTACGACGCCACGGTGGAAGTCATTTATAACAAAACGTGAGTTGAAGGCTGAATTCAAGCCCATTAGAAACGGTTGCTGTTCTTTTAATATCGTGCGCTCGCTTTCGCTTTAGTTTATACGCCGCGCAAAACTTTAGAGGTAAAGTGATCAAATTGATTTCCATTGCAATATTTTTGTTAGAATCTCTTAGGCCAAAAAAAAGTCTCCGGTTTCTGGTATGGAGCTTGCCCAAAAAGTGGTGCGGCGACGCGGCTTTTTTTTTTTTTTTTACCTGATTTTTTTGCTTCAAATGTCGACTGATGACTGCAAATGGTGCCCGACTAAACTTAGTGCAAATATATGGGAGTCCAGAGAGGCCACATAAAGCTTATTCTCGACCATAACCCAATCTAAAAACACGTTAAAATTGTGCGGCAGCAGGATTCCAGTCAAACCAGTGAGTTTGGCGGTTTTGAGACATCATCTTTCATTGAAAAACAAACTTTTTCATTTTGCCGACGCGCATGGCTACGGCAACGCGCGCGCATACCCGAAACCGGAGACTTTTTGGGGGGGCCTTAGCGTCTTTTTTTTTATCCGTGTAGTCAAGTCCATCACAAGTCCGTTTCAAGTCCAGTCACAAGTCAGTAGGAGAAGATAATGAACAATACATAGAATGCCTTTGAAACGTCTTTTGTGACTTGACTCGTTACTTATAATCGATGACTTGTGACAGACTTGAAAATTACGTGAGCCAAAAACATGTCTTTGCGTCCACCATGTTACAGGTACAAAGAGGCAGTCGAGCGTTACTCAGCGATCGCTCGCGACCGCGTCATGTCGATGACCCCACTGGAAGAGGTCGCTTACTGGGTGGAGTACGCCGTCAAACACGGCACAGATCATCTCAAGCCACGCTCCATGCACCTGTCGTTCGTTCAGAACTACCTGCTGGACGTAATTGGCGTCACTGCCATCATGGCTGCACCCATATATTGGTGCCTTACCAAAATCTGCTGTGGACTATTTAGAAAGTTAAGTCCATAAATGGGTTCATATTTGTAAGACTGAGACAAATGTAACAATGATGAACAGTGGAAAAACGATGAACATCGAAGACGGTATTATTACTCCCAACATTTCAGTCAGAATCGTAGGTTCTGCGTGCACGGGCGTCGCTGAATTAATTCAAGTGTGGGGTTGGGACCGGGAGGAGGGGGGACAATGAAATTTTCCAAAGACGGGTCCGGGAGGGTGGTTATGATAGCCAGGCATTTCCCCCGTTTATTTGGCCGCCGCGAAATCGAAACGCTGGGGAAGGGCGCTTAGGGGTGTATAGGGAGGAGGATTTTGACATTAGCTGACGAATGGGGGGGGGGGGGCTCTATTCAAGGCGGACAGGACTGGACGTCTTACAAAAGTTGCCGCTAGGTGGCGCTGTTGAAAGCGGTTTATTTCCCGACACGATTTTTGTCGACAGGACAATATTATGCCAGCTAAAATGACTCACCCCCTCTAGTGACGCCCCTGCCTGCTCGAGAAGATAAGCTTCGAATGTTTTAACCGTTGATTTTCCAGAAAAATTCAAACGTAGGATCACCATATGCTTATCTTGTTATTAATCAATTAACGATATTAAATACCGGATTATCCGAACATAATGCATAATGCCAACGAAGCATTCGAGAATATACGGATTAAAGCTTAAAAAAAAGAGAATATTAATTTAAAGATGTGAGATTACAGTTCTTATTTCTGCACCTTTAAGTGCATCCTATCTTCAACTTCATTTAGGTCAATAGAGGGCGCTATACGCGCACCAAGATGGTACACCGTACAACCATCCACAAGGATTATTATTGCCAGTTTGTTGATGCGTGAGCCTGTCAATATTAATAATTTAGGGGGATGTTAATGAAGGCCTGCGGGTATGAAAAACGTACAGAAGATTTTCATACGAGCAAGTCAACGGACTGAACTTACTCAAGATAACACAATTTTGTATATATTCTAAAAAAAAAATTGAAAAAGGAAACTCAGGAGGTTGCAGGTTTAAACCCTGCTTTTCAATTATTTCGTTCTGCAAAAAAAACCCAAAAAACAAAAACAAAAACAAAAACATACAATCTTGGAACACGTATATAATCAGACGGATGCCTCGGGTTTTTTTCCTCAGAAGTCAAATCATTTTATTTCGCAGAATTTCACAAAGTCTAGCAGTTGATATTTTGTGATTTTTTTTATGTACAAATCGGATCTGGAAGGAAAAAATAATTTACTTCCATCTCTTGATTAAAACGCTAGCATGGAATGCATTTTTTGTCTTTATTAATCTATCCTTTCTAAGGCATTTCATGTTTTTAAGTTGTCCACTAACATTTGCTTTCGACACATTGATTTCACACAACAGGTTGGGTTTTTTTTCTTCTGGTAATTACAATAAAGTCCGACTAGAATAGGATTAATGTCTCGTAACCGACTTTAATAAAAATCATCAAGCCTAAAGTAAATACATTAAATCCGTCTTGATTTTACTGTTGTTTGCTTTAACACCTTCTACTGTAACTATTATTAATGAAGTAAATAAATACAATTGGATGATTTGCCAAATATGTGCAATTTGCACTTCATAGTTTATCCAAAGTACGCAAATAAAGAAGTACTTTATCATCACATAGCTATAACATAACTCCCGAGTAGAAACACTATTTAAGGGATCTGAAAATTTGGCGAAAACTTTAAAAGGAAAAAAGAAAATATATTTTGGTCATAAATTTTAATGACCTTTCTTACAAGAAATCTTCGTCATTTTCTAGTATAGATTGTAACTGTTATCTTTATTTACAAACGTATTCCATGGTCAACTGTTTAGTTTTCTCCTTTTTTTTCTCTCTCCTGTATTAAATGTCCCTTGACAGGGCTAAACTATTTTAAGGCTAAAAACTGAATGACCAGCATTCTGGTCTTTTCGTAAAAACATAAACCAGTGGTCAATCAAACGTGAGTTGAAATAATAAGAATAATAGTGAATCTGTTACAAGTGTTGGGTATGCGATAGGACGCCCTCAGTGTTCTATCGTTCACCCGCCCGCTTGCCGAAGGTGAAGCTGGACAGACCGCTCCGCTTGCCGAACGAGAAGCTGCTGCCGAGGGCGCGCTTGTTGTCCTGCAGGAGGGCGTCCTCATCGGCGAATCTGTCCACATCCGGGACCCCTCTCTTGCCGAAGGTAAAGCTGCTGCCGAGTCCCGCGCGTTTGCCGAAGTCGAAGGAGGAGTAGCCACGCTTGCCGAAGGCAAAGTTGCTGCCAAGGGCCCGCTTGCCGAATGCGTAGGAGCGGAACAGATCGGCTCTCTTTTCCGGGCTCCACGCGTCTTCACGCTTGCCGAAAGTGAGCGAGCGCAGCCCGCTCATGCTATACGGTCCATTGGACCGTTTGCTGGCGTCAAGCTCCTCCTCCAGACCGGTCAACTCGTCGTCTCGCTTGGCTACGCTGTACGGGTTGACCTCATCTAGTTCCCGCTTTTGATACTGGTAAGGGAGGAAGAATTGCCCTCTCTTGCCGAATACGAAGCCGCTGGGCCGGCCCGGTACGTCTGTTCTCCTGCCGTACGGGTAGAATGGCTGCTGCGCTGCCAGATCAATCTCACGTTGCCTGTCGCTAACATCTCGCTTGGTGGCGCTGTGTAGATGCTGGTCATCACTGTCCCTGATTCCTTTTAAATTGTCAAAACCATTCTGCAAAACAAGGCACACACAAAAAAGAAAGCATGAAATAATACACGTCAATCAACAGGGTCAGATTTTTGGAAGAGGAAAGCAACTTTACGCACGATTACCGGGGAGCTAAACCATTTTTGTCCAGTTCCCCGACTTCAAACTGATATTTGCAGTTTAACCGGCATCCCAGGTACCGTATGTCACCAGTCTATTGGACGTCAATTGCTATCCAAAAAGAGCTTAAATTCATCACGTTTTGCGCAACACTTCAGAACATTAACGCAGTTTGAGATGCCTATCACCATATTTTATCTGTACAGTATGGACTGTGTTATTTCACCGTTATACTTGCAGTTGTTCCTTCCGCATTCTGCTCTGAAATAGTTATAATTATTCGTTGGTATCTGTCAAGCCCTAAGCGGTTCCTTTTATGTGACGAGTAACTGTTTTGGTGTCGGTCTATCAAAGCCCGGATGTGTTGGCTAAACCTGAGGGAGCCAGACTAAAATAATGGCGAATGTAAAATGAGTCCCAGGGCCTTTGTCGCTTATTAACTTCTCTCGCAGTCAGTACTTATGCCGAAGGGTACTTTAGCCGACGAGGTGTAGTACGTGTTCAGCTCGTCAAATAATTCTTATTGAAAAAAAACCCGGATTTTAACAAACATTCGAAGGGTGATAAGAGCGAGTTCTGCCGCCTGAGGGCGTCTGAGGCGCTCAGTGTTTCTGAGGACTCCGGAATGACTTGATTAAATTTCGGAGCAATCGACAATTGTTTTGCTTTGGAGATAACCTAGATGATAGCAGTAAATAGGAGGGATAGCTTAAATAATAACACGTTTTTGCCCCCTCCAACACCCACGGCATAACGTTATTACTATAACACGCCGATCTGTTTTATAATGACTCGCGAATAGTCGTCTGGTCTAGTGGGAGTTTCTCCACCCGGGGCCCCTCGGACCTCGTTGGGAATCGCCGGGAAATTACACGCATTGCCCGGGCCGCGCCGCCGCACCACGCCAATTAAAATCAACACAATATCCGTCTGGGCCCCGCTGGATGCTAGCGGTGCTTTGAATTAGCCTCCAAACCTATTTTCATTTGATCAGCAAGCATCCTAAGGTAAATCCTGTTCCTCTAGCTCTAGAACGAATGCTTTTAAAGGATGTGGGCCTATAAGTAGAGAGAGGAAGTGACCCCAGTTGACCCCACTCCATGGTTAAAAGTGGCGGCACATCAGTGAAGCAGTCGACAGCTGTTAATAGCGCACGTGTGTTTGTTGCTTGATATCATTGGAATGAATTGAATTCTTCGCTGGTCAAGATGGCAAGAGTGGCCAATAACATCACAATTTGACTTCGGGGAACCTGACCAAGATGCCGGAGGTAAGGACAATCAATTAGGTCCAAAATTACTTCCGCCGAAAAAAAATATATATTTACTTACTTTCTCTATCTAGGGATAAAGATTTTGTAATGACGAAGGGGCGCAGAGATACATCTCAGCTTTAATAATAAACAGTTCTTATATAGCGCATAATACATTAAGTCTCTATGCGCTTCTGGTGAACAGGTGAGTTTTAACAAGTTGTTTGAATTGATCCAAGGTGGGACAGGTTTTGATATGGTTAGGGAGATCATTCCATAGTTTGGGAGCAGTGAATTGAAAGGCACGTTGACCGTATGATTTGGTGGTAAATGGGTAAGGAGTAAGAAGATCTATGGAACTATACTAGCGGAGGGTTCTTGTTGGTTGATATTTGTTGATTAATTCTTGGAGGTAAATTGGTGCTAATCCATGTATGCATTTGTAAATCAGAACCAGTAATTTGAAAGTTGTCCGGGATTTAACTGGTAACCAATGCAGCTCATGTAGAACTCATGAAAGTGGGTTCATGCAAGCGTGTGAAGTGTGTTTATTTGTTTTGTCTACATCATGGAGTAGACCCTGAACGTACCCCACCCCACCCCTCCTCTTCTTTAAGTGCAGATAAATGGACGTAGGGCTATTATTAAGGGAAAGTTTACCCAAACAATTTGAAAGTGAATGTGTCATGGACACCATGGTCACTTTTAAGTGTTTGTCCCCGGCTGGAAGTATGCATAAGAGCACTTATCATTGGTTTCATTGGCGATTTATTCACTTACTTCCACAGTTATTAGCGCCTGTACGCGCCGCTAGGCTTCCCTGGCTAATAGAGAGTATTACAGAACAAACACTGAAATGATATAGGCCTAGGTTCATTCTGTTATTCGCTACCTTCATCCTTAATACGAGTATTATTGCTCCTTAATTGGAGAAATATTAGTTACTGTCGCCGCTGAGAAATAACGACATAGGACTGGTCTAATTTGTTCCAGACCAACTGTTTTCATTTAGCTTAGTTAGTGAGTCCACCCACATAATTATTTTCATTAAATTTTGGCGCATTACAGTCGCCCTGAATCATTTAGTCTGCCGGTGTGAATAATTTGTGACGATTAAAATGTCCTTCAAGGCTTCAAGAACTACTAAATTAATAAGAGATGAAAGGATTGTTTTCCTGATTGAAACTGGAAAGAAATTAGCACTAATCGATGTGTTGTGGTCGCGGATTCAATCGAGGTTTTTTTTTTCTGGCGTGGGCGATCGACAGTGAAACAATAGAGATTAAAACTAATAGCGCATCTGGACCGTTATATTATGTGGAAAGATTAAAGGGTCAAGGGGAAAAATGTACCATGCGCAGTACTTCTCTGGGAGGGACTGCCCCTACTTTCCCCGAGAGAGATCCGTATTCGACATGAGATCTGCAATCATTCCTGAATGACCCTATCACATATCATGCCTCGAGTGACTATAGAGAGCCATTGGGGTGATTATACACACTCCACCGAAATGTCATGGCGCGTTGAAGTGATTAGTACACTGTTATCATATCATCGATGGATAGGCAGAAGCAACTGTCTTGGTTTTGCAAAACATTATTTTGTCCGTGACTCGACCAAATGCAATTTCGATTGTGTTTGCAACCATTAACCAACGATTTCACAATTTCTTTCGACATGGGAGAACTCTGAGCTTTCTAATCGAATTTAGCACGGCTAAATGTTCTGCAATCACCGCATTACTTTTATACTACATGTGCCCATAAGACCCTTTTAAGCTAATTAGGTGATTTTATGTTATCCCACTTCTGACACCAATTGCGATAAAGGTTTGTGAGCCTTCAAAGTAAAGTTTCCCGGTCGCAAAAAGATCTCTGCTGTTATAGACCGCATATAATTTGTGTGTGTTGTGTGTACTACTTCGGAGGACCTGTTCTTGTCTATTTCACATGCGAGCCTATTATATCAAATCCCACTTCTGACACCATCCTTACCGTCCTCTCAGCAGGGTAAAAGTCTTCTTGTTCCTCCGCGTTTGCAGCATCCTGACCGGCCGACTGGCATACTAGCAGACTAGCTATTCCAAGAAGGGCTACGAGTCGCAACATCTGAGAAATAAAAAAAAAGGTGAAAGAAGGTGGATTGGTGTTGTCAAGTTGGCAACAATACCTGTAATAAAGCCATTAATATATAATTGGCAAGAGCAGTTCCGTTGTGGTCCGCATGGACAGCTCTGAAGTCCTGGAATGAATTTTCCTTAGTAAAGAGGAGGTTTCATACCGGCTAAACACGAAAATGAAGAAATATTTCTTAAAACGAATTTTTTTGTGTTTGTTTTTTGTTATCTCGTGCCACACATCAACAATATCATGAAGGTATTGATTCAAAAAAGTGAGCAAAACAACTGAGCGAAACTTCAGAGTAACCATGAAACATTAATGTCAAAATGTATCATTCCTCGGTCACAAATACATCTCCGCGCCGCTTGTTTTGGAGGTTGCCCGCATGTCACACTTAGTCAGCCTATCGGCCTTCAGGTCTTCCTGTAATATTTCGCTTATCAGCTCTCGACAAGTCACGCATGACTTGCAGCGATAAATGTGGAGCTTCTACACCGGTAACTTTTAAGGTTGTGCCCCAACCCCTCACACCGGGGTTTTCGTCTACCAAGCCGCGCCGGTGCATCCACGCGTAATCCGCCCGCCAAGCCGATCGATAGTATCGGTGTACCACTCGCGCGTGGTTGTGAGTGCTACAAGCATTATTTTTATATTTAGATACCAAAAGAGGTATCAACAAGAGTCAAAGGAGTAGGCAGGAAGCAAAAATGACACCCAATGACGTCAATGAGATATACACTTGGCGAACATTACCCTAAAAAACTGTAATGTTAAATGACTTTTGTCACGAAGAAAGGCTTATCAAATACCAACATCACGAGAGTTTGGCGAGGCGACTCCAAATGGTATCACGGCATACTTAAATGATGGGAGGTGATTTTCAAATCGCTTCCTTACTACTTGAAGCACGTCCGTCACGAACTTGTAAAATTGGAATGTGCTGTGTCTATCGATACACTTGAAATGGGAGCTGGCTTTTAATGCTGTTTGGCGAATCTTAGCAGCTGAATGTGCAACTCACTATACGTAGCATGTTTGAATGAAGAAAAATGAGGCTGACAATTCTTTTTCACTGTTTTATCATTCAGTGCACAATGTCAAGTTGCAATTTTGAATACCGATGCATTCTGTATGTATGAGTGTTCCAATTGAATAGTGGACCTGGGTAACCATGACGACGCCCTAATAGATGCAAATGTGCACTTTACCCACATCAGCATTATTTGTACAAATTCAATTATTTTTTTATTCCCGAACGGTTGACGCTGAGAACCTGTGACCTATTTTTCGATTAAATGAAATCATTGTTTTTGCTCTGCTTTTTTTTCGGAAATCGTCTCAGGAATTCCCAAGCTCAGCGGGCGACAGAGTGAGAACCGAGGCCGACAAAAAGCTCGGAGCCACCGCGGGAAATCCTGGCAACTCCGCGCTGAGAACCGTGCTCGGCATCCAAATCAATTCCCAGTTGGTGTTAACTAAGTTTCTTTCTTCTTCTTTTTTTCCTGACAAATTTAATAAGGTGGTAGATGTTATCCGACACTGATTAAATTGTAATTTTACCGTACGGGTTGTGTGTTAAATGCCTTTGGTGGTGTTACTATAATTGGTGGGTCAAGAAGAAGAAATATATGATTAAATAATTGTTCCAGGTTTTATACCATTATCATTTATTCCAACAACAAGCAAGCGTTATTTCGTTTTGGAAAGTTAAATAAAAGGGAGAATATCGGTCCAAAATCAAATTGATCTGTAATTGTTATTCACGGTTTGACTACTCCAACATTGAGTATTTTTATTAAAAAAGGGAACCTGTGCTCCTGGCTAATACCAGGGGAACACGACCTTTAAAAAGACGGGACCGTTGTTGTTGGATAACTAGGGCCGTGTTTTGATTGCTTGCGCCCAGTGTACCTGTCCGACTTTACCGGCGACAAACCTCACTGCTTTCTGGGGAATTGACGATATTGCGCTATCTGGATTAATAAGTGCAATGACATGATTTTTTTCTCAAAAATTCTAATCTTTGGTGTCAGGTTTCACATCATTTTTTTTCCGAGGGATCCGGGAAGGAGTGTTGCTGGTAATACGGAATGAACATTGTCCGTTCCAGTTGCAATAACCTCCAGCGTGTTCGCGAGTTTCCTCGGGGATATGTTCCAAATAAATTACGATAACAGAGTACGATCACAAGATCAAGTGCAAGCAAAAACGGAGTAGTGTTCTATTTCTTCAATAGTGTGAATGTTTGTGAGGGGTGGCTGTTATCCTGTTCGTGATACAGCAAGGGTACACTGCTCGTAAACGTCTGGAACAACTTTGATTTCGAGAATTTGCAACAATCTACGGGGAAGGTGTCCCATCAGTTCAAAGCCTGAGTGCGAGCTCGACAAAACTATTGTTGAGAATACAGCTGTCTGGTTCCTGATCTCAACAAAATGAATACATACAATCACTTCAAAACACATCGGCATATAGGAGAAATTGCCTTAGTCATTAGGCATGGTCATGGGCCAATTAGTTTGGCCTGTTGCCAAGTGTCCATTATGGAGATAAAGACTTGTGATCAGAGGATCAAGGGTTCGAATTCAGCCGCTGGCCCTTTGTGTCCTTGGGCGAGCCACTTAATCGTAACTTGCCTCTCTCCACCAAGGAATACAAATGATTACCAACATTAGCCGGGGAGTAACATGGGGAGTTACCAGCGATAGTGGACTGGCATCCCATCCATAGATATAGGGAATAGTATTCTCAGTCTTGAAAAAAAAAATGTAAACACCGGCCTCGTGAGCCATATTGTCTCGGAACAAACTTGACTTTACTAACATCAGGACAACAAAATAACAACAATCCATCTCTCAATGTGTCCTCTCTGTCTCTCAATCCCTAGTCATGGTCGGTTGATACCGATCGGCCTTATATTGTAGCCTCGTATATACTCGGGGAGCCGTAAGCGCGCTGAGATGGCTATCGCTTGGGCTAGCGTTACACAATCGATAACGGCGATACGATCAAAAGGAGAAAAAGAAAGAAGAGGGAAAAACCTTTCAAGAGAGCAAACATGTTGTTGCCGAGCGGCTGCCTCTTTTTGTTAGTCTCGCCTGGCCAATCAAGCGTGATGCGCGGAGAGTGAATTTAAGGCGAAAAGTGTATCTTGAACGAGGACAAAAAAAATAATCGTTTGCGGGAGCTCTGTCCTCCTAATAATTATTGCAATTGCGACACTTTCACCCCTTTTTTGGCTAGAAATTATTGAATAAAACTCTTTAAACTGAATGAAACAACTCGGATACAAAACTGGTAAAGTACTTAAATTTTAATTCAGTTATTAAATGTTTTTTTCGTGTTTTTTTTAAATAATTCTCATTGTTAGTTCATTAAAATAACTGTGATAGGAAATGCAAAATATCTGCCGCCGTACGATAATGAAAAATAATATTTTACTTCAAAATTTCTCAAAATGTAAAATAAACGCTCATAATAGTGTGCTATTAAACAGTTTCATAGATTGTGCGTTGTAGGGAGAAAAATTTTCATTCACGGAGCGAAGTGTGAATTGACGAAGATTGCAAAACACTCTGTCCGATTTGGCTAAATGTAAATGCACCAGGCAAGTATTGATAACACTCTGTGCGTATACACCGACATTCAGACAAGTCTGTCATCAACAAGTCGATGTCTGTTCAAGAGGAGAAATCCACCCCAGCTTGAGAGTGTCAACAATTCCTTGCTCACTCGGGATTACAATCACTTGCTATAAATGATGAGGACCGGTAAAACATTTCCCACGCGTCTGTACCATGCCAGTGTATGTCAGACTTATTTTTGTTTCTATCAACGGGATCGTTCGTGAAGTAAGTGCCGGAAAGCCGTCCTTTAGACGAGGGGACATTTCCGTTTACGCCTGAGAAGCGCACGGCCTCACTTCACTCATCCATTTACACAAGGTGACTTTATAACTGGGGTGAAGCAATGGCCGGAATGAAATGGCGGAGAAGAAGAGAGAACAAAAAGTGCCGCTGACTTTTGGCCTTTTTTTTTCATTTACTGGCTTGTGATATAACCACATTTTGATTTGATAATGATTTAATGCAGTAATCGAGAAAGATGTCATTGGGAATTGTTTTTGTCGGATTTCAAATGGATGCTGTTCGAGGAATGAGCAGGTGACAGTTATTACGATTGTGACGAGGGTCAGACTAATTTGAAGGGAGGGGTGACCATACCACCGTGCAGCCTAAATACAGGGAGGGCTGTGACGGGACATCAGCTGACACTAGGTGGCGCTGTTTAGGGTGGCGTTTTGTTGCCCACTGTGAAACGAGTTTGTCCACGTGAACAATGGTTTTGTTTAGTGAAAAAACATGGCCAAAACGTCATCATGAAACTATGGCCCCGTGATGTAGGCCTACAGTATGATACTTTTCGCTATACTTAAACCAGCGATGTAACCGATTTCGGTATAGGTTATCCTGAAAATTGGCTAGACTAGTCCAACTGTGGTTGACTATAGCGTGGGTGATAGCGTACTCTGCTCAAAGCTGACAATTGCAGTTCTGATCAGTGATGACAGAGCTAACGACAACGCATGTTGCTCGTAAGAATGTTGCAGACTCCATAATATACCAAGCGAGAAAAAAAAACCTGTAATTGAGTGATTGGTATGATTAATTGTACAGTGAGTGCTGATTCCGCCAACAACGCGAAAAGCGTCAACACAATTACAAAACGAACAGCTTTGCTGACGAAACCTGCGATCCCGCGTCGGGCCCTCAATATGAAGCAATCGCAAATAGGGTGCCTATGCTTCTAAAAAAAATCTACCTCCGTTTCAACCTGATCGCCGCCTGAGTGCTCGAGACACATACGTCGGGAAAAATTAACCGACACACGCTCAGACCGCCCTTCGACATCAAGAAAAAAATCATTGAAGACCCAAAATATAAACCTAAGCCTACACGTGAGATTTTTTTTCACGTCCTTTCCATTAA